CAGGAATAAGATTATATGTCTGAGCCACGTTCACTTTCTACAGGTAGAAAAGTGCTGAGACGGATCTCTAAGACAAGTAGACATTCTATTAGCAGTAATGGGATCATTAAAATTTAAATGCTAATCAACCCTTTTTATGCCACTTGGTATTTCAGGAAGCAGCAGTTATATATTTAAAGAGATACCAAGTTGATTCTAGAGTAGATGTGCAATTTCTCTGAAAAGGCTTGTGCATACCAGGATCCTACATAAAGTCATTATTTTTTAGAACATTTCTAAATTCTTTGACATTATTTTAAAAGACTGGTGGACTCATGAGGCAATCTGTAAGGTTTAGAACTGATTGGGGATTTTTTTCTATTATATTTTTTCAGGTTTAACCTTAAGATAGTCTTGAAAGCAGAATATAATTTCTTTGTTCTAATTTTCAGTGAAATGCCACATATTTTTGCTATTAAAAATCACTAAAACATATTTTCAATGAAGTTCTGTATTATTTTTTAAATTGCGAGATAATTATTATGTTTTGATCTATCACATATTAGACATTACAGTCTGGTTCCTCCTGGGCTAGTCTGACAGATCATTTTCCTGGGAGCACTGCCTGTTTTTAGTGTGCTGCTACTCACCCAGCCCACAGAAAAAGTGCATGATGTTCTAGTGTTTCATTAGCCATAATGATCAGGAGAACATCTCATATGAGTCACCAACAGCAACATGGCTCTATGCATTAGCCCAATGGAATGGAGAAGAAAACTTATTTCCAAGACCATTCAGGATTAGGTTCTAGCAAATGGCCCTCTTAAGTAGCCCTAAGCTTACTCGCAAAGAAAGTAAAGGATGAACTCCCCTCATACCCTGCCACCCAATAATCTGAATTTGAGGGGGTAGATGGAGGAAAGAGGGAAGGACAGTGCCTGCGTGAGACTGGTACGCATTCCTTGCCTTTTCCCCAAAATCTATGTTACTCCTACACAAAATTTCAGACACAGAACTTCCCAAAATAATGTAATTCTGAGCTATGAGCAGTTTCCACAAACCACTGACACTTCACAAAAAGAAAGTTTCAAAACTATGAAAATTATGGAACTAAACTGGCAAAAAAAAGGAACATGAAATATAACACACAAAATCTGATCAGCACTGCAAGAAGATCCTGCAATATCTTTGGTGACTTCTCTTTTCCTTCAAAAGAGAAAATCAATGGCTATCCCTTCAGCCCTTAGAGGTATTAGTGTATATTATAAATCTCTGTGAGAACAATGGAAGGTCTCACAATGACTTTTAATTTTAAAGTCTTCAGCTGAAGGAAATCCACGATGGTGGCTGTGAGTACTTCTTTTGAAGCCCTAAAGTCAAAAGTCTATGCTCCTAAACTTACTACTTTGAGTAATTTTAACAATTTAAGTATCTAGTAAGCATTGTGCCCACTAGGCTTTCATTCTAGCTATTTTCCTATGGTGATTAATTCCCACACCCTGAAGAAACAATGGAGCCAACAGCTGGGCAGCCTAAGGAATCAGTTGCTCATATGTATGGAAGTCTCCCTGAAGTCCCTGGATTTTGAGTGACCTGCTTAGCAAAGCTACCTTGGAGCTGAGGACTTTGCAAGGTGCTGAGTAAATCTGACATGGTTCTCTCTCAGGTTTCACTCCTGCCTAAATACATGAATATTCATCATGCTGTTCAGTCATGAGCATCATGAGTGAAAAACACAGTAAAAGAAATGTGTCAATTTTATTCAGTGGTTACTAGTGCTCTGGGCTGTAAATTCCATTTCAGAACCAGCATCTTTCATTTTTTCCAAAATGTTTTTTTTTCTCCCAAATTTCTCCTTGAAACATTTCAATGTCCTGCAAACCAGAAAATAAATGTTTGTGTCAGTTCTATTCTTCAGGTTTCACCATGGAGAATCTGTCAGTACACAGGAAATTAACAAATAGCATAACTGCACATAATGGTACATTGTTTTTGTTAAAATAACTAATGTGGATTAAATTAGAAAAAAATAGTAAATAATAGTCCCCAATGCAAAAAGCACAGAAGCAAAACCCCAGCCAGTCATTTCTGGTAAAATGTACAATTTCCAGTCCTATAGTATTTAACATGTCCTTTTTAAAAAAACATTCAAAAAATGGGCTGAATGTATCTCTACTACTGCTAAGGAATATTAACTGCAAGGAGAGGGCAAGTGGCATTTATTAGGGCTGTGTGAAATTTCGCCAGGTGTTTCATTTCAAAGTTGTTTTAACACGTTTCAAGCTCAAAACAGTGAAATCAAAATGAAATAAAAAGCTTTAAAACAGCTTCAAAATGAAACGAGGGCACTCAAAATATTTAGAAAGTTTCGAAACATTTTGAGTTTCGAACCTGGGCTTGCTTGGCTTCAGCACTGTTCCCCATCGGCAGCGGCAGTCTCCTCTCATCCAGCAAACAGATCCAGGGGCCTGCACCTTGGGAGGACTGCCAAGCTGTGCTGGACTCCTCTCAGGGGTGTGAGCCCCTGGATCTGCACACCGGATGAGAGGAAGCAACAATTTTCTCCAGTGCTGGGCACAGGCTGAGCCCACCGCCAAACCCAGGTGGAAGCCTCCTCTCATCTGGCATGCAGATCCAGGGGCCCACACCCCCAGAAGGAGTCTGGCACAGCCCTTCAGTCTTCCCAGGGGGCTAAGCCCCCGGATCTGCACGCCAAATGAGAGGAGTGCCACTGCCAGCAAGTGTCAGGAGTTGTGTTTTGAACAATTTGAGGTGCAGTTTCCCAGAAACCTCTGCACCTATTTCCTTGACACTTGGCAGGCTTTGTGCCCTCAGAAGGGGCTACTAACCCTACAATTCGCTTCCAAATCAGGCAAGAAATGACAAAGTCTTAAGCATTTTCACGATTTCCCATTATAGCTTTTGGGTGAAACGTTGAAATGCGCCAAGAAACAGTTTAGATTAAACAAAACGGGACAGTGCTTTGAAATTAAATAAAAGGATGTCAAAACAAAACAATGGTGTTTCACACAGCCCCAGCATTTATGTTGTATTAGCTAAATTTGAGTATTCAGCAAAGCAAAGCTCATTGATACCATTAAATAGCAGATTTTCTCCATCAAGTTAAACACATCTAATATCTATATTTTCATATTTATCTTCAGAACTGAATTTAACACTTTCAGAATAACTAGCAGTTGAATTTTGCACATTATTTTTTTTTACTTGGTATTATTTACATGGCAACCAAAATCATGCTGGATAGTCTCCAAAAAATAAAAAGGCAGTTCCCTCATGTAAATAGCATACTATCTAAGCATGATAAATAGAAACATCATTCATTTTCCAGAGCCAAAGTACATACAAAATTGACTATTTTTCCAATATACTATGGCAAATTCTTCACCTGTAAACTACTTTCATTTACTCCAGGACATTACAGCTAGGGACATTCAAAAAGTCTGAGCCTGAATTGATTCAATCAGGTTAGTCTAACCTGGCTAGGGTAAATCAGTTTTGTAACCAGACAAACATCCCAGAAATGCAAGCACATGCCTGCAGTGGCTCAGGCTAGAAGCCACGGGGGACAAGAGCAGCCCTCCCTTCCCTCCCAGAAGGCTGAGCTGATGGCGGGGGGAGGGGGTTGGTCAGGGCCTGGCAGGATGCTCTAATTACAGAGGGATCCCCCTCTCATTGATAACAGAACTTTTACCAGCTCTGTTATCAGCATTTATGACCCCATCAGAAAACAAAGCCTCACTCATTACAAGCTCTTCTTAAACAGCTTGTTCCAAAGGAAAATGCATACCAGCCTCTGGCTTCTTTACTATTCATTCCATCCAGGAAGAGCGCACACTGACTGCAGATGCTTCCTCAGCCTGATGAAGGGTTTTTAAACCCAAAAGCTTGCTAAGAAAAAATTTACCAACTTTTTAGTTAGTATAATAAAAGAGATCAGATTTACCCAAAAAAACTTGTCTGCCTTTTCCAAAGGAAGGAATGCAGGGACATTACCATCTGAGCTGTTGATTACCTCCAAAAAGCCTTAAGCAGACACTGTCCTATCTGCCTTACACAGCATTAGCTAGCAGATCACATGCTGGCTATAGTTGGTGCTGTGGGAGAGAAGAGGAGTGGATCTCTGCTTAAGCAGTGAGTGGTGAGGTGGGAGAAGAGGGGGGCACGGGGAAGCCAGGAAAACCCTGCTGTACCTGCAAGTCTCTGCCAGAACTCCAGCCAGGGAGCAGAGGAAAGGGGCCAGCCCTGCTGTGGAGCAGAGCACCCCAACCAGAGAGCATGCCAAGATGCTGGGGGTGTCTGGTTTAGTTTAAACCAGCAAAGGATCTGGGACAGACATTGTATAAACCGGTTTGACCCAAATCAGTTAAGTCTGATACTACATTCAACCAGGTTTATCTCAAACTGGTTTCAGCCATTTTAAAACTGGTTAATGTGCACTGAACATCTGTTCTCTTACAGGTTTAAACCAGTTTCTGATCGCTTAAACTGGTTTATGTGTAATGTCTATCCCTAGCCTAAAGGGTATATATAGTATGTAGCATAAAAGTGCCTGTTCATGACTGTATGACTCAAAATGCCATATTGCTTTTTTCTAATAAAGATCTGAACACGCAAAAACACTAGGTGTAGAATGACATAATGAAATAAAGCAGACAAACATAGAAACCATTACACTTTCTAGGGCTTCAACCCTGCAAACATTCTGTTTTCAGGTTTAATTTGTTTTTAACACGCCTTTACATTCCCACCCAAACAGAATTAAACATGTTTTGCAGGACTCAGGTCTATGATACCTTGCAAAACTTAGTGACCTGATTTCCCATTGCCAACATCTTACGATTGCTAGCGACAAATACACGTTTTACTTTTAAAAGTGGAAGCTCAGATTTCGGCTTTAATGCATACCCTTGTGTGCATCCTGACATTTTTCAAAGATTTAATAAAGGAATTAGCCCCAATTCTTTGAACAGAATGAAATACTTAGAAAAATGATCTCTTACCTTCCAAGTCTTCCTTTTCAAAATGTGTTTTGAGAATGGAGCGTGTTCCACCTCTATCCACAACCGCCTCTTCATCATTTCTCTGCAAAACAGAAGAGAAAATGTATGGGGGGTTTTCTGCCTGTAAACTGCTAGCAAGATTGAAAGTGGAATATATAAATAATTTTTATTTCCACTTATGCTATTTTTGTCTTTGAAATATTAGAGATTTAAGGAATCTCTTTTTCCTCATCAAAATGTACTCTTCATACAGTAACTGTTACTATGTCATGGTTTAAACTGGCATTAACACAAAGAAAGTAGATCTGTGGTGACATTATATGTGAGCTAGTAAGAGAACTCTGATATCTAGGGAATAAAGAAAATTGTGAGCCAGTAAAATGATGAAAGAGATGTGGAAGAGATGAGAAGATGAGAAAGTTATATTACTTGGTTCAAAGTAACTTATTTATACATGCATTTTTAGCTCTAAAAACAGAAGTCCTGTAAACAAGATGAGATTCTGAACTATGTGCAAAAGTCCCAGATTGTTATCATAGGTATATAGCTATAGCAAAATTGAAGAACACTAATCTCAGTAAAAACAAATCTACAGAATTTAATCCCAGAAAAGAAAGTGGTCTCAATTATCCAATTACCTTTAATATGTTTACTTGCCTTGTATCAGTATAGATCAGTTGTGGGTAGACAGAACATTCTAATAGCAGACATTCTATTATTTATTTGGCCATACAGAATACTCCAAATGTATACTGTACTTAAACTATATACTGCAATAGTGTAAGAAGGTGGCATAATATCATATTCTAACTACACTATGAAAGTATTTCATACCCTGAGATATTATAAATGTGCTATATTTGTAACAGTCTACTTTCATATTGTATATGGTTGTGATCAGGTTGGAAGGCAAGACAAGCTAACAGTTTTAGTTATTTTGAGCACACTCTTTAAGGATTAAATTTTTTTTTTCCAGGGGATATTAGTAAAGACCTACAGAATTCATGGTGGAAGTGGGCTACAGTAGCTCCTTTAATCTTGCAGTTTCCCCCATGCACCCCACCACCCCACCCCCGATTGGTGGAGGGGTTCCACCACTCACTCCCAATAGGCAGGGAGGCAAAAACCACAGTTTTAAATATGGCACTGCTTGTGCCTCCTGGCCAGTCAGCAACAAACAGCGGGGTCACTGGGACCCCTCAGCCAATCAGCAATGGGAGCAAGGCATGGTGCATGGTAAGTGATTTTGGTAGGACCCTAGACAATAGCCCTCTGGGAAGTCACCCATGACACATGGATCAGGTCGTAAGCTGAATGGTGGTTTCCCAAGGAACTTGAAAATTATTAAAACAAAAATTAGTTCATAAGATGAGCTTGATAGTGAATGACTACTGGGTAAGATGAAAAGAACAAGATGAATTAAACAAAATCATGCATTAGTATACAATGAATTAATATTACCTGGCACCAGTGAAAGGGGTTTAGTAACTGATATAAATATTAGATCTCCTAACTTCCATATTTGAAACCTGAACCCTAGTGGAAGTCTGGAGCAGAAGCGTTGCTTAACAGAAAACACAGGGATCTTTAAAATGCTTATGACAATAAAAAGAAATAAAAAGAAAAAGATGCATCATGGGAGTACTGCCCCTTGAAGAAGACAGGCCCAACAACAAAGTTTAGATCTAGATCTCAATGTCAGGCATCTTCAAATGTAAGGTTTTTTGGTTCAGATTCATCCCTTCCCCAAATAACTATTATCATGCTGTAGCTATTTTATACAGGAGAGACCTGGAACTGAGTCAGCACCAAGCATCTGGGCTGTTAAAAAAAAAAGATTGTTACAATGTCTTTATTAAAACGTTCTGTCAGACAGTAGTACATAACAGAAATCTGACAAGAAGGAATGGGTCTTGGAACCATTTTGTCTTTTAATAAATTAAAATGACCAAAAAAAGCCTATTAAATGCACCAACACAATATTTTTCATAAAAGCCATTTGATCACATTAACATCACAGATAAAATTAATCCATTATTTTCAGCAGCAGAACACAACTGGGTGTGTCATACTGGAATGCTGCCATGTCCCGGGTGAATTGTTAGGCGGGAAGCCAAAGGCCAAGTGTTACAGCCATGTCAGAAACAATGCTACTCTAGCATGAGTCATACCCAGCAGCGTCTTGCTGTGATTATTAAGTGGCCCTATGGAAACTGAACTATGGACAAATCCATAATGCAAAATAAATAAATAAATTATTATAATAAGTCCATATATCTATAGCCCAGCTAAGAACAATAAATAAAAACATATTAACACTTATCAAAACAGGCATATACCGTTTTCTGACTTTTTCTTTTGTTTGCATTTCTGATAGTTTTTCTCCTCTTTTCCCCTTCTCTCTAGTGTCTCAGCAAGGCTCAGTCTCTCCTCCCCAGAAAAGTGTTTCTTCCATTAACATCAGGTAGAAAAATAAAATTGAGAGTTATGTGCTACATCTGATTCAATTGTCAAACCCTGAGTGAAGCCCAATTAAACAGGCCTTACACTGTGGCATTCTGACTTCCCATAGAACAGCAGTAGAGTCACTCTGTGCTCAGTAATGCAATAATGCCCATTGTTCCCGTGCTGCCTCTCTTTGGGGGTCCAGTGAACAGAGCTGAATGCTGAAGTTCCAGTCTCAACTGGGGTGCCTGCTCACTACGGCAATACAATGAAAAAAGTATGATATCATCCCAGAGTGACTAAAGACTTGGAAATTAATTTCAGTTGTAACGTATTGCTTTTTATTAGTGCTTCAGCAAAACTGTGTTGATTGTAAGTATTTAATGATAATAAATGAGATGCTATGATAAATCAACAGAAAGTACAGGCCAAAACAGCTGGAAGGTGGAATTCATACTCTAGATGACTCCTGGTGATATTCCATATACAAAGAATAATTTCCTTTATTAAAAAAGTGCCCCTTCCCAATCAATTTAAAAACAGTAAAAATTAAAATAATTAAAACTCCAACCACAACTATTTTAAATTCTTGCCATGTACCCCCACTGGAACAGCAACAGGCCTTGGAACCACAGGCTTATCATAACCACAAATTCTATTACACATCATAGTTGTAGCTTTGCTTCCTTTCAACCTGTTTTGAAGGGGCTAAAGATCATCAATGTTATATGCAGTACAGATTTTCCAGGACTACGGTGTTCAAAATATCTCACTACCTGGCAGCAAATTTCCAAAAATGTATGGACACACTGACCAGGAGCAAGTCCTTGGAACTGTCCATTATTGCAAAGAGATGCTTGCTGGTGCCAGTGAACAGTGTGCTTTAGTGCTTAAAGCATAGGAGTCAAGGTAGTCCCGAGTTTTAATCCTGGCTCTGTTACTGATTTCCTGTGTGGCCTTGGGAAAGCCACTTTATCTCTGTCCCACCTTTCCCATCTGTAGAATAGGAATAATAATAATAATAATAATATGAATAATACTTATCTACTACCTTTCTCACTGGGGTGGTTTCTGGTATAATAAATAAAGACCCATAAAGAACTATGAATTTGAAAAGCTGTATACAAGTGTCAAGTATTTTATTTCTGGAGGGTTCCCATTTTATACATGTAAAAAGATGTCTTGATATTTAACAGCAGAACAGTAACCATAGCATATATTTATGTATAAAATACACTCGCTCAAAGCAAGACTACCTCACATGCACTCTGTAATGTTTCTTTAGCAGGGGTCCTGGTTTTCCCTGATAAAAAAAATAAATAAATCACAAATTCTCTGATAAAAACCACAAAAGTCATGATTAAAATGAAAAGCATCCTCTCCCCCCCCAGCCCTGCTGGTGCCCCTCTCTCCCACCCCACAGCCCTCTGGCTCCCCTGGTGCCACAC